CTCCAAAGCGACAAAGCATCAACAGTAAAAGAGAATGGACAGCTAGCCAAGACACCAGACGTTCCTAGACCATATGCCCAAGTTCTAGCAAATGGGCTCATGGCTGAAACTTCTAGTAGTGCCAGTACTGCCGATAAGGACGACGTATCCTTTCAGCCTGTCATGTCAAGGAATCAGCGCCGTCAAGCCAGGAGGATGACACGGATCCAACCTCACCCTACTGAAATAGAAGAGGTTGGACTCCGTGCAAACAAACAGGCAAAGGAAGAAGCACCACAAAGAAATCCCATCCGTCGCCAGGTATCATCACGTTACGCCAAACCGAACCAGAATGTCCCTGGTTCAGTTCCGTCTCTGGATGCTGCACCCCGCAGTCCGCGAAAGGTCTTCTACTTGGGAGATATTCCGTTCGGTTGTGAGGCAGCGAGTATAGCAGACTGGTGCAGGGAACGCGGTGTTGAAATAGTGCAGTGCTTAATATACTCCTCCGAGTATTTTCGAACTGCCTCCGCCAGAGTGACTGTCGAGGGTAAGGATGCCGATACTGTATGCCGGCACACCTTCTGGCCAAACACAATGGGTCATACCGTGAGGGAATGGCGTTTCTATTCTGACCAGCCCACCGGACAATATCTCTCACAGTGAATAGTAACCTTGTCTTCCCCAACACTACTGGAACACTGAATCCACTGGCCCGTCCCTTTTATCCTCCCATCCATACTGCCCTTACCATCCTTTCCCTCAACTGCCGCTCAGTGGTCAACAAAGTAGCGGAACTCACTGTTATGTGCAACATCTACTCTCCGGAGGTTATAATGTTTGTGTGAAACATGGTTGTCCCCTGCCAACCTCTTCTCATTGGCAGGCTACACAGTTCATCGACGGGATCGTCCCACCTCTAATATTCGATCGGCCAATCCTACCAGAGGTTATGGTGGGGTAGCCATATTGGTGAAAGATGGCTCCTTTACATCGGTGAAGCCTCTGGCGAATCTTCAGCAACCGGGCTTGGAGGCCATCTGGCTTGAGCTTCGCACAGCCAACTCACCCCAACGTCCACTCGTAGTCTGCGCCACCTACCGACCTCCTGGTGGTACCCTGGCGGATATCCAGGCATATTCTGATGGTCTGGAAGACTGCCTTCTGTCGCTTGATCTACCTGTATCCACACTACTCCTCACCGGTGACTTCAATGCCCATAACTCGAGCTGGTTGGCTGGTGATCGGACAACCCCGGTGGGTCAGTGCCTTGAAACCGCCTTCAGGTGCTTCGGATTAGAGCAACTGGTCAACTTCCCTACGCACTGGAGCCCAAGTGGCCGGTCATCTTGCTTGGACCTCATCGTCACAAATTCACCCCAGCAGTTCCTCTCCGTTGATTCAGCCGCTCCACTGGGTAGCTCTGACCACGTGCAGCTCATCTGTCGAGTCCGTCTCCCTGTCACGTCCAAAAATCCAACCCTACAATATCACTTCCTCCCAACATCTACCCCTACACCCCCAGGTTATAATTTCAAGTTGGTGCCACGTTGCATATGGGATGACCTGAATGCTGAACTTGCTGATGTCCACTGGAAATGTCACCTCCGCAGCTCGCACGTGGATGACGCTCTTTCGTCTTTCCACTCTATTCTTAGCAGGGCCATGGAGAAGCACCTCTGGTACTTCTCCCGGCGTCCACTCTCCCCCTCATGCCGACGTTTAGGTCAGCCACCTTGGGTTGATGCCCCCCTCCGTGCCGCCATTAAGGCAAAGCACGATTTCTACAGTGTGTGTAAGAAATACCCAACCCAGCTTAACATGCATGTATATCGATCTCAACGGAACTTGGTGAAGAGTCTGACTCGATCGAAATACCGGGGATACATTCGGTCCGTACAAGCTACGCTGCAGGACAAAAACCGCCCATCACTGTTTCAGTTCGTGAGCAAATTAAAAAATCATAAAGTATCTCGTGACATCCCGACACTCACCATTAGTTCTACACAGCAGGCTACTACCTCTTCAGCTAAAGCCACTGCATTGAACTATCAGTTCGCCTCAGTGGCCGTGCCTGATGACTCTTCTCTACCCATTCCCCCCATTGCCGAGGAGTCGGGTGAGGCTGACCGCCTCACATCTGTCTTTACTACGACTGCTGCCATCCGACGTTACATTCGAAAGCTCCCGTCTGACAAGGCGCCAGGCCCAGACGGCATCACTAATCTGGTATTAAAGTCCCTTGCGCCCTCAATAGCATACCCCTTATGTCTGATTTTCAACCTATCATTCCGCACTGGTCGTTTTCCCTCTGCATGGAAAACAGCTAATGTTATACCGATCTACAAGAAAGGGTCCCGCCACGAAGCATCAAACTACCGTCCGATATCTCTACTGCCCTGTGTTTCCAAACTCTGTGAGCGCGTTTTCTACGACCAATTGTACTGTCATGTTTCGTCACGTTTGAGTTCAGCTCAGTCCGGATTTCGCAGAGGCGATTCTACCACCCTCCAGCTGACGCGCCTGGTGCAATTAGTGTGTCGACATCGGGATGCTGGAGACCTAGTCGGGATCTGTTTTTTCGATCTTGCCAAGGCCTTAGATACCGTCTGGCACCGGGGGCTCTTGGCCAAGCTTCGTGGATCGTTTACTGTAGACGGCAATCCCCTGCTATGGCTGACATCTTACCTAACTGGGCGAACGCAGTACGTCACGGTACATGGGACGTCCTCAGCCGACACAACAGTACTATCCGGAGTTCCCCAGGGTTCCATCCTCGGCCCCCTTCTTTTTATCTTATACGTCAATGATCTGCCCGCAGCTGCCCCGGGCACATCACTATTCGCAGACGACACAACGCTCCTACGGGCATCTCCTAACATCACTGGCCTGATGAGTAACCTAGCTAACGGGATTCAAAGAGTAATTTCCTGGATGTCGTCTTGGCGGTTATCGCCCAATCTGTCTAAAACTAAAATCATGCTCTTTCCTTCTCAGCCTGATGTTCCGCCCCTCCTCCATCCCACTTTCCCCCAGCCTATAGACATAGTCTCCAGCCATAAGCATCTTGGCATTTTCATTGACTCTAATCTTTCATGGGAACCCCACATCGATTACATTTTTTTTTTACTTGAAACCACGCACCCAATTCGTAAAAGAAGAAAGAAGCAGGAAATGACAAAACAACAGACTAACAAGACATTGACTGAATGGGGCTGCAAATGCAACGCAGCGGTGGTGATGGGGTGCTGCAGGCTCCGCCGACCAATGGTCTCGGCATCCGCGCCTACTTCACGCATCAGAAAATCGGGAGAAGAATAGAAACAAAAAATGATTGAAAAAGTATATAGCGAGAGAGAGAGAGAGAGAGAGAGAGAGAGAGAGAGAGAGAGAGAGAGAGAGAGAGAGAGAGAGAGAGAGAGAGAGAGAGAGAGAGAGAGAGAGAGAGAGAGAGAGAGAGAGAGAGAGAGAGAGAGAGAGAGAGAGAGAGACAGAGAGAGAGACAGAGAGAGAGAGACAGAGAGAGAGAGACAGAGAGAGAGAGACAGAGAGAGAGAGAGACAGAGAGAGAGACAGAGACAGAGACAGAGACAGAGAGACAGAGAGAGAGAGAGAGACGAGAGACAGAGAGAGACAGAGACAGGGAGACAGAGACAGAGAGACAGAGAGAGAGCATCCATATGTAAACGATCAAGTTCATCTTTAGGAATCCTCTCTTCTCACTGTTACCATCTCCCAATCTCTTGTAAACTCCTCTTTTACTCAGCTTACATACGCCCCATTTTTGATTATGCAGATACTGCTTGGGCTGGAATTTGCACAACCCGTGCTGAAAAGCTCGAAATTCAGCACAAAAAAGTTCTAAAAATCCTCCTCCGAAAACCCTGCATGCTCCCATCTTCCACCCTTTATGCCCTTGCTCACACTACCCCTTTGTCTAAGAGACGTAATTCACATCTTGTCACCCTTATCCATTCTCTCAAACTCAATCTGTGTCCACCTCACCTCCACTGTTTCAACTGGTTTTCTTCCCGTAGCACGAGAAACTCCCTTTCCCTTCCGAAACCCAAGTCCTCCTTTCTACTTCACTCTCCCCTTTTCACTGCGTACTCTGCGTTGCTGGCGCTTCCCCAAGAAGCTAAGGACCTTTCTTCCCTCCGCCTTTTTAAGAGCCTTGTCGCGCCTTGACTTTGATTTTGTGTTTCTCATTTTGTTGCAATCACTACTTATCCATGCCGGTTCCTTTTTTTCTTCTCCTCCCCTTCTCCCTTCCTTGCCGTGGTTGGCTAACACCCTCTCTCTTTGTATTGGCCGGTGTTCTCACTGTGCTATGAGATGCTGCAATAACGTAGAGATACGTGAAACTCGGAGTTGTGACAAAGCTTCCAAACTCTCTCTTGTGTAAAAAAATAAAAAAAATATCTATGAATGGAGTTGTCATTGTGTGCAGATTGTCAAATTTCATTGTCTTTTTATTTAAAAAAATTGTTTGTTTTAAACTGGCAATAATAAGATAAATTGTGCACTCATAACAACAGCACAAATGAAGAAAGTCAAGTTCCATAACGTTTTCTTGTGACTGTCATCAGTGGAACTGTCGCGAACGCGATCGTAATTTCCATAATTATCACTTAGACATAAATTTGTAGTGCTAGAGCCTACTTTTTCTGACCTTGCCGCGCTCCTTCCATATTCTGAATGGCTATAGGCATGCGCAGTATGGTACGCGCGCATATTAGGCATGCGCGATCTTGACCCGTATAAATTAGGCATGCGCGTTCCTAATCAGCCTCTCCTTTTTATGATCACCAAGATTGACCTCGTGTTTTTATGGCTCTTGTGTGAATCCAAGTTTGCAGGCAGCTCGCCTTTTAATTTAGAGCAAGATGTCATGAGTGGATTGTTTGTAGTGCAACTGGCATGAGTATTGTTAGATCAGGGTCACAGTAGTAGTCGCACGGCGACATTTTTGGTGCCGAAACCCTACTGATGCCGGATATGGTGTGAGACCGAGAGCAGATATGGCAGAACCAGACTCCATCAACGCCCAGGCGAAGACGAAACGGAAGGTGCTGCAGGCCCACGTGAAGTTCTTGAAGCAGCGCTCCGCTGAGGCCAACACATTGCTGTCTGGCACTCCAACTCCGGACGAGATAAGTAGTCTGATTACCGTATTTGCTTCTACGATAAAGAAAGGCGAGGAATTGTTCGACTTGTTTGCTAATGTGGTATACGACTTTGAGGCTACAAAAAAGGGTGATAAAGAGAAAAAGAAATACGATGAGCAGTATGTCGATGTGGTTGTGGAATTAATTACGGAATGCAATGATCTATTGGCACAGTTACGAGGGAAGTCAGTCCAGTCTAAAACAGCATCACCAGTGGAGATCATAGATCTGACGAAGGTCATGGAAGCCAACACGAAAACACAGGCAGAAACAGCGAAGCTATTAAACCAGTTTGTCTCAGAACAAGGTGCCGCCAATGGCACTCCAGTCACAGTATCAAGTTCAACGAAGCTTCCTGTCCTAAAAATACCTGTGTTCAATGGCAATGTGTTGCAGTACCCAGAATTCATTGACATGTTTGAATCCACTATTCACAATAATACCAAGCTGTCCAATGTGGAAAAATTAGTGTACTTGAGAAATCACCTGAGCGATGCAGCACTAGATACCATAACGGGCATTACCTTAACGGGCAAGAATTATGCAGCAGCATTAGGGCTCCTAAAAGAGCGATTTGGAAAGCCACAAGTAATTGCCAACATGACGTATCACAAGCTTGTTGCCATTAAGCCACCAGTGAACACACCAGTAGCGTTGCGGAAGTTCCAAAATGAAGCAGAGGCGCACTTGCGGTGTCTGAAATCAGCTGGTTCAGACATCCAGCAAGAGATAATCGTACCGCTACTGATGTCAAAACTGCCAAAAGCGATAATCATTGATATGGAGAAAAGAAAAACCGGTGATAATTGGTCTGTGGGCAAACTACTTATGGTCTTGGGTGCATTAATTGACATCCTTGAAGCAAGTGATCACATGGCATCTGTACACTTCACACCTTCTAATGGGCGGGTACACAGGGAAACAAACCAAGAGGGTATGGCCACCAGTTCCTTACTAATGAATCAGACCACGCACAAAGGCCCGAAATGTTGGTATTGTGGAGGGTCACACTACACGGATGAATGCCCAACATATCCAACGTATGAGAAACGGAAAGAGAAAATCACAAATGAATGTTTCGTATGTCTGAGGAAAGGACATAGTGCAGCAGATTGCAGAGCTGGTGCACGTACATGTTACCATTGTGGGAAACGTGGGCATCATCGGTCATTATGCATGAAGAAATTTGATCCACAATCCAGGCTAGATCCAAAGGCACGAGAATTCAAAAGTGCAAAGCCAACCAATGTTCAATCTTGCAATGCAGAGCTAGTGCCGCCTGTGGCTGACGTACATGCAACAAATGAAGTTTACTCCCAGAGCAATGTGGTACTAATGCAAACAGCAATGGCAGAAATCCAGAATGGTGACCACACTTGCAACGCACGCATCTTGTTCGACACTGGGTCGTCCCGTTCATTTGTGCACAGAAATGTCACTACCTCACTACACAGTAAACCAGTTGGTCAAGATGTTTTGGCAGTAGCCGGGTTTGGTTCCAAGACCAGAACTACTCGCACTTACACCAGGGTAGAGTTACAAGTCAAATTACGTGATGGCTCCTTCCAACCGATATCTGCAAATATCACTGACCACATCTCTTGTCCAATGAATATGGCTCCGTTAGATTTGTCGAAACATCCAGCCATTGCAAAATTGCCACTAGCTGAGCCCCTTGGCACTGAAAGCACCCAGGCTCCGATTGACATACTAATTGGGAGCGACCAGTACTTTGAATTTGTGGGTCTGGAGCATTTGAAATTGGGAAATGGGATTGTAATGCTTGACACGAAACTGGGTTTCATCCCGACGGGTAAAGCAGACCAACATGATTCAATGCCAGATATCCATGCAATGTGCACGTCGGTTGAAAGCGAAGTACAACATCCAGATTTCGACCTACAGAAATTCTGGAAGCTAGAGCAGATTGGCATAGATGAAGATAATGGAGTCACAGATGACACCCTAGCGTACGACAACTTCAATGCAAATGTTGAGTTCATTAATGGTCGTTATGTAGTGTCATGGCCATGGAAATTAGACCCAGAAACTTGCCTACCAGAGAACTTTGATTTGGCCAAAGGTAGATTGAAATCTCTCATGCACAGAATGGAAAAAACACCAGAAGTACTCACGAAGTATCACGAAACGATACTGGGACAGATGGAAATGGGTGTAATTGAAGAAGTCAACGACTCTAGCAGCGAACTACGCAGTGACAACAACAATGGCAGTCACACTGACAACAACACAGAGAGCAGCGTACATCACTACATACCACACCACTGTGTAGTCAAGCCGAGCAGCACAACGACGAAGATACGCGTAGTGTACGACGCATCTGCCAAGACGAAGGAAGGCAACAAGTCACTTAACGAGTGCATCCACAGAGGCCCAGTGCTGCTGCCAGACCTTTGCGGCATCCTCCTTCGCTTTCGTTTGAATCCCATAGCAATGAGCAGCGACATCGAGAAGGCATTCTTGCAAGTCGGCTTACATGTCCGTGACCGCAATGTCACACGCTTTCTTTGGGTTCGAGACCCCAGCAAGCCTCCCAGAGGTGACAACATCGTCATCTACAGATTCTGCCGCATCCCCTTTGGCGTAATCGCAAGTCCATTCTTGCTTGGTGCCACCATACGACACCACATCAGTTCTTCAGAGAACACGCAATCGCAGGCTGTAGAGAATAACACTTACGTCGACAATGTCCTCGGCGGAGCGGAAAGCGTAGAAGACGCAGTAGAGTACTATCGAGAAGTCAAGGGCATCTTCGCTGATGCATCAATGAATCTACGGGAGTGGGCGACAAACTCCGAGTCCCTCAAGCAGCAGATCCCCGAGAGCGATCGCGCAATCGCTCAACTCGTCAAGGTCCTTGGAATGGAGTGGGACACAAACTTGGATGAGCTAGGGCTCACTCCAAACCCAGCTGAACTCAAAAACGTTCAGACGAAGCGGCACATGCTGAGCGTGTTATCATCGTTCTACGATCCACTGGGAATCTATTCGCCAATCGTATTCCGCGCGAAGGTTCTACTTCAGGAGATCTGGAAACTGAAGTGCAATTGGGACGATGTCTTGCCAGCAGCTATTCTTACAGAGTGGCATGAGATAGCTCATGACTTATCCGCAGCCAGCCAAACCAGAATACCAAGACTTGCGAGTTTCACTTCCAACGTTGAACCAAGGTATGAGCTCCATGTTTTCTGTGACGCATCAAAGGCAGGCTACGGAGCTGTGGCGTATCTACGCACTATCTCGACGAACGTGTCTGTTCGCTTACTCTTTGCCAAGTCTCGTGTGGCACCGTTAAAGGAAACAACAATACCAAGGTTGGAGTTACTCGCAGCCACGCTAGGTGCTCGAATGATCAACTTTTTACGGAAAGAACTCCCTCTTCAGCTCACTACGTACTTGTGGTCAGATTCTCAATGTGTGCTAGGATGGGTGAAAGGGAAGGGCAAGGATCTGCCGACGTTCGTAGCACATAGGGTCGCAGAAATCCGCCGCAATGAAGACGTGCAGTTCTGTTATGTGAACACAAGAAGCAATCCTGCCGATCAACTCTCACGAGGCACCACGACTGCAACCCTCCTCAAGAGTAATCTGTGGTGGACAGGACCCGAGTGGTTGGCGGACATGCAATGGGCACCGGATACTGATCCTTGTCAAGAAGAAGTCGTTCACGCCGCTTTGTCGGGGGAGGGTCCTGCGGAGCAACAGGCGAGCAACCCCCCACCGGCTGGTATTCGTATTGAGAAATCATCATCCTTCGCGAAAGTAATCAGGGTTACAGCATGGGTACAGCGTTTCATAAAGTCAGCAAGAAAGTCTCGTCCAACATCACCATACTTATCGGTTGACGAGCTTCAGACCGCGGAAATGCTTTGGCTGAAACATGCGCAAGCCACTGATTACTCAGCAGAACTGGAAGCCATCAAGAACAACAAGAAAACCAAGAGCGACTTGATGTTCAAGTTGGGTCTCTTTATTGATGAAGAAGATGGCCTAATCAAGTGCAGAGGCAGGATGAAGAATGCAGAACTGCCATCAAATGCTAAATTCCCGATTCTCCTCTGCGGAAAGAGTGCGCTGACGAGATTGATCATTTCCGATGTACACCAGAGAGTTCTCCACGCCGGCGCTAGTCACACGCTTGTGGAATTACGTAAACGCTTCTGGGTGACACGAGGTAGAAAAGAGGTCACGAATGTAGTTAATCAGTGCAAGGTATGCAAACGGTTTGAGGGTGGCCCCTTTGCAATGCCCAAGTTCGCACCTCTCCCCAAAGAACGGGTAACCCGCAGCGCACCTTTTGTCAGGACTGGCATTGATTACTTTGGGCCCCTGACTGTTAAATCCAATGGAGAAAACAAGAAAGTTTGGGTGGTACTGTTCACTTGTCTGGCAACACGGGCGTTGCACTTAGAGCTTGTACTAGATATGACTACTGACAGCTTTCTAATGGCGTTTAAGCGATTCGTCGCTCGCCGCGGTACACCGGCTACAATCGTGTCTGATAATGCTAAACAGTTTAAATTGGCTGACGTCACAATGGAGCAATTGTGGAAATCCATTAATACCAATGCGGATGTATTCTCGACACTTGCCACTATGGGTATTGAATGGCGGTTTATCGTTCAACTATCACCATGGATGGGAGGGGTGTATGAACGCCTCGTCCAGTCCGTAAAGCGAATGCTCAGGAAATCCCTCGGTAAACGAATTCTAAAGGCCGAAGAACTTTGCACACTGCTGACAGAAGTAGAGGGAATCCTCAACAGTAGACCTCTCACGTATGTGGGTGAGGATCTCAATGGGTTTATCCTCACACCAGCACACTTCTTGTGCCTCAACAACACTCTAACACTGCCGGGTGAGCAGTTAGATACGAATGATCCAGATTTCTGTGTCAAAGCCTCTGGTGATTTACTTCTCCAGAAGTTCAATGTATGTCAGCAGCAGCTGAATCGCTTCTGGCAATTATGGCAAGACGAGTATCTTGCATCACTGAGAGAGCGTGGCGATTACCAGCTACGACAAGGACGTATTCGTGCCAATGACGAGCCAGCAGTTGACACAGTTGTCATCATCCGCGAGGAAACACTGCCCCGAGTTAGCTGGCCAATCGGCCGCATTGTGAAACTGCACGCATCTTCAGATGGTGAGACAAGATCCGCCACCATTCAGCTCCCTACTGGTAGGACAGTCAGACGGTCACTATGTCATCTTTACCCGCTGGAATGTCCATCAACACCAGCACAGGTGAGTAGTGAACCTGAACCAGTATCGGCGACTGAGAGCGCATCCAGTAGTGACGCCACCGGCACGACTCGGCCCAAGCGGCACGCAGCAGCTCGGTTTCAAGAACAGCTAGGTGAGCTTATACGAGACGGAGCAGTTTAGTAACAAGAATGAGTGCACTGGATAGTAAGCTATGCTATGATGGTCTGAACACTTGTACACCCAGGCACAAACTCACACATGCATACACACATACACCCACACACTTATACACTGTATATACATACACGGCGTGAACACGATTGCCTTCTGATCTTTGTTATGAACATGCTGCTTATGCGAACCTCCTTTGCTAGATACACTGCAGTATACATGTACTATTGAAGTAGTTTAAAGTAGATTGCCTTATTTCCGAAGGTGAACTTTCAAGATGAGTATTCAGATGCATGAACAGTAAGTTGATCTGAAGATGTAACTAGTGTCAATATCATGCAGTCAGTCAGTATAGTAACGGTATCATTGAGTCAAGTTTGATACAGCTCTCCCACCATTGCGTCGTTTAGGTACCGTAGATCATTTTCGGCACAGATTTGTATTCATGAATTTCAAGGCTGACAGTATTCGGAGCTATTTACATTGCATGTTCCTTTCTTGACATTCAGTTCATTGTGTAAATATGTTTACTGAGTATCATTCTTCATTTCTTCTCGCTGGCCGGAATGTCGCGAACGCGATCGTAATTTCCATAATTATCACTTAGACATAAATTTGTAGTGCTAGAGCCTACTTTTTCTGACCTTGCCGCGCTCCTTCCATATTCTGAATGGCTATAGGCATGCGCAGTATGGTACGCGCGCATATTAGGCATGCGCGATCTTGACCCGTATAAATTAGGCATGCGCGTTCCTAATCAGCCTCTCCTTTTTATGATCACCAAGATTGACCTCGTGTTTTTATGGCTCTTGTGTGAATCCAAGTTTGCAGGCAGCTCGCCTTTTAATTTAGAGCAAGATGTCATGAGTGGATTGTTTGTAGTGCAACTGGCATGAGTATTGTTAGATCAGGGTCACAGTAGTAGTCGCACGGCGACAGGAACGCCGTCACATAAAAATGTAATAACTAAAACACACACTTATATACATGTAGCTAATATGGTTTCAGGCCAAAGTTTCATGTTCAACTGTAGTTGACGAGTGTGGTAGCGAGTTTTTTACGTCTGACGTCTTGCTCCCCCAACCGGGAGCATGGCGTCCATTGACTTCGGAATTTTGGATAGTGAAGGCTTGGAGTCACTGGCAAAGGCCAATAACATCAAGTGGGCCGGCCTGAGCCGGGTGCAATTGGTAGGCGCCCTGAGGGAAAGTTGCAACCACTGGAGGATCAGATCGACACACACAGGGTCACAAAGCAGGCAGGCGGATGTGAATGTACCAGTACTGATGCTACTGCGCTAACGAAGATGATGGTTGACCTGATGGAGACGGTCCGAAACCTGGTAGCAGAAGTTTCTGACCTACGAAAAATCTCTCTCGAAAAGGAGAAAAGAAAAGATGCCGCCATTGCAGAACTCAGGGAGGAGCTTTGCGCCCTGGCACAACACCACCAGCCCATCGATGTCTCTAATCGCGCCCTCGACAGCCACCAGGATGAGTACTCGTACCGAGCAGCTACAAACATTCCCGCCACGGGTGTACCAGTACCCGCATCCGCACCAACAGGGCTTGAAACCGCAGCTCTGGGCGAGACGTACGCTAGTCGTGCCTTCTCTACACCACGAACAAGCAACGCCAGTCGTACTACTGACAAGCCTGTCAGCACCAAGTACGACTGGTCGATCGTACGCGAAGCCGCCAACCGCCACAGGAAGCCCGCAGATCTGCGTGGAGGTAAGAAAATAACACGCAGAGTTGTATTCGTTGGGGGCATCAATATCAACTGCAGTGCTGATGATCTTGTTGCGTACTGTAGAAAGAAGAATGTGGAAGTTACTGGCTGTAAACTGATCCCCTCCAGAACAGTGTATGGCACGTTGTACGCACATCTGACAGTTGCCGAGCATGACGAAAGAAATGTTCTGGAAAACGATTTCTGGCCCGAGCATGTAACAGCACGAGAATGGAAGTTCAAGAACCCACCCCTCCCCAAGAAATCATAAACTGTGATGTTGAATCCACACGCACCCATCTTTTTTCCCACTAGGACCACATCGACACCATCATCTAACAGTGTGTCAGGGCAACTGAACCCAGATGCACCTACCTTCACTCTCCCATCACCATACGATACCTCAGCCTTAATACCAAACAAACATCCCCATCATATGCGGCTAGCCACAACCAATGCTTGCAGCTGGTATCCAAAGGCCGATGAAATTAATAACATATTTGGTACTTCAGACATGGACATATTAGGCATCACCGAAACCTGGCTAACTCAGAAAATTCCTAACTCTGTATTATTGCCAACTGCCGCTTTTGACATAGTGCGAAGAGACCGCCCATCTCATGTTGCTCTGCGTGGCGGTGGTGTTGCTTTCTTACTCCGACCAGGACTCGCCTACGTCAGACGAGCAGACCTCGAGCCTGCCAACACCAACCTTGAAATCCTATGCATTCAACTTAAAAATGGCCACAAAGATGTCTATATTTTCTGCTGTTATCGGCCACCAAGGCAGGATCATTCAACTTTCCTCTCTGGCTTGCGTGAGTCCATCTCTTCCATTACGGACACTACGGCTTCCATTATCATCCTCGGTGACTTTAATGCTCGGCACAACGAATGGTATAGGCAGGACCCGAACACTGCTGCTGGAAGATGCCTTGTCGAACTGCTGGATGATACTGGTTTTACACAACTTGTACGCGACCGCTCAACACGTTTCTCCGCCGCAGGTCAGAGCTCTTCTCTCCTGGACCTTGTTCTCTGTAACCAACCATTCCTCATCCACAACCTCACCACACTTCCCCCTGTTTCTGATCACTGTCCTGTGGTATTTGATCTCGCAATACAGACTCGTTCCCAGCAACCAGTGCACTCTGATTTGCTCGTGAACAACTATGCAGCCACAGACTGGCCCGAACTTAATAACCACCTTTGGAGCCTCCCTCTTCTCGCTGCTGTACAAGAAGCCAGTAGTACAGATGAAGCATGGGTCTCCTGGCGAACACTAGTTGACACAGCCATATTATCTTTTGTTCCGAAGGTTCGAAAACGAACAAATCGTTATGGAAAGCCTTGGTTCACCTCTGTGCACCATCGCCTCCGTCAACGTCGAGATCGACTATTTGCTGCAGCAAAACGTGTCAATACCCCTGAGTGCTGGGCTGCTTATCGCATTTCAAGGAACTGCCTCGTCGCTGCCATCCGTAAAGCTAAACGTCACTTCTACGACCAGATGTCAGAAGGCCTTCATGCAGATCGAGGATCTTATGACTGGTGGAAGAGAGTCAAGAATATGTGCCACATCAATTGTCCTCACACCGCTATACCTGATATACAAGGAGTCGATACCTTAGCGGTTACCGACCCTGAGAAAGCGAACATCTTCTGTCAACAGTTCGCCAAGAATAGTCAAGTTACACCGTCGTCGGATGCAGATCATCGTGATCTCGCCATGCCTTCTTCTTCGGAAACATTTGCCATCCGCCCTCTGTCTATCGTAGAAGTATTCAAGGCACTGTCGACCCTAAGTGTGCGAAAGTCTACAGCTGGCCGTCTTCCTAACAGGATCCTACGAGAGACAGCAGAAGTGCTCGCCCAATCCCTCACTGCTCTCTTTAACCGCTGCACCACTTACCGATCTCAACCCCTTGAGTGGAAAGTTGCAATCGTTACCCCAATTTACAAGGGTAAGGGAAGTCGCAATGACCCTGCTAACTACCGGCCGATATGGTTGGTTTGGTTGGTTGGTTTTTATTTCACTTCGCACATTCAAACGGGATGACGACCCAATAAAATGACGGCGAAGGCTTATATCTCTGCTGAATGGTGTGGCAAAATGCTACGAAGCGTTAATCAGCCGCCAGGTGTACACGTTTGTAGCGAAACACAAACTACTGTCGCCGAAACAGTTCGGGTTTCGCCACCACCGAAGCACGGTTGACCAACTTGTGCATATCACATCAACTGTCAGCTCTGCATTTGGTAACCGGGCCCAGTGTGATGCCGTCTTTCTCGATTTCTCGAAGGCATTTGATCGTACCAGCCATCGCCTCCTAGCCTCATGTCTGTCCGGTTGGTGTGCACCTGACTCATTCGCGTGGCTGATGGACTTCCTGGAAGGCCGATCGATGTCTGTGCGGGTCGGAACCTCCTTATCAACCCATATGTCGCTCACCGCTGGTGTGCCACAAGGCTCCCACCTAGGCCCTCTATTATTCAACCTTTCTATCATCTCCCTTCCCAGCATTCCCAAATCCAGCGATCTGACTCTGTTTGCGGATGATTCCAACATGGTCTGCGTTTCTCCGCCTACTGTCGTACCCGCCGCGCACACTGCCTCCCTGCAACTAGACCTTGATAGATGTGTGAACTGGTCCCATAAAGCTGAAGCAGTTTTCAATACTAACAAATGTGTCCATGTTCCCTTTTGCAGACCTAAATCAAACCCACCTGATCCCAGGACCGTCACCATGGCCGGTACGTTACTGACCCAGCCCTCTTCCCACCGCCATCTGGGCATCATCCTCACTCCTTCACTCAATCTGTCCCCCCATATTCAACACATTACCAGCAAATTTCGATGTCGGGTTTTTCTTTTAAACCACATGTCCAACTTCCTTCCTTTTCCTGCTGTGAATCTTTTGTATAAATGTTATGTTCGTCCCCTCCTTGAATATGCTGTTCCCGTTTGGATGTTTTCCGTTTCAGCCACCATGTCCACAACCCTTGATAAACTGCAGGCTACTGCTGCTAGAGCATACCTAAATAGTAAACTCAAGCGTCGGCCTGACTGGACGACTTCCAAAGAAGACCTCAATGTTCTGTCCTCTTGGGAATCTTTAGCATGGCGACGGCAGATTCTTGGCCTTGTCTATTTCCACCATGTATTCTCCCAATACCCCTCCTTGTTGTCTCACTTCCAGCTACCCTCTTCCCAAAGCAGTCGTCACCCTTCATCCATAATTCTTCCTAAAGCTGGCACCTTCTTTCGTAAATCAACCCTTTTTTCTTTGAGTGTTGCCTGGAATAAACTTCCTGAAGATATTCGTTCACTCTCTACAACAGCGAAATTTAGTATTGCTGTTCGTCGGTATCATTCGCAATCAATGTTTTCTTTGAAAGGTATTCCTGACTTTTGTGTCTAGGCTAACCACATCTATGATAGTTTCAATAGTTTGTGTATATGTCAGTTATAGTAGTCCGCAATGCTGCTTTTCTAATTCTCATTATGATTAGCATGCAATGTACTACCCGAAGTACTGAATTTACTTCTTCTGTACTCTATATTCTAATGTATCTTCTACCTCTTCTCCCTTACGAACATACTTTCTCATTTTCCATACTTACTTAGGAGACTCCCTTCGATAGGCATCTATTTGCCTCTGGAGGATCCGTGAAATAAAAATCAATCAATCAATCAATCAAGGTAGAAATACAGCAGCTAACAAGTACAAAAAGCGAAGTTTGTACTTGTTAGCTGCTGTATTTCTACCTGAAACCATAATATTAGCTACATGTATATAAGTGTGTGTTTTAGTTATTACATTTTTTACGTTATGGAACTGACTTTCTTCATTTTTGCTGTTGTTATGAGTGCACAATTTATCTTATTTATTGCCATTTTACGACTATTGTCTCCTCGTCGATTGTTTAAATTGTTTGTTTTGTCTGCTTTTTCTTTAGTTGTTGTGTCAGGCCAGTGATATCATGGTCTGTGATTACCCGTATAAGAGACATACCGGTATTCAAAAAGTACTTCAAAAAGAAGTATATCTATGCGATATCAGTGCACGTCGATGCGTTCTTCTTTCCACTGGTATACGCACTTTTGCCCAACAACACGCCAGCGATATATGAGTCAATGACAAGATATAATTCATTAATGCGGCCAGTGAGCTAAAGCACGACACTCCGTGACAAATTGGTGTCGGCTGGCAGCCGATCCACCGCGTCCAATATTGTTCACTTTATGGTCCCATTAAAATTAAATCTTTCTTTTGTATACTACTAGCACACATGTAGTAACCATGTCAACAATTATTATATTTTACATTCTCTCATGCATGTTTATACATTCTTATTTGGGTACAGTCATACGGTACATACCCCCCCCCCCCTCCCAACACACACACACACACTACTAGTACTACTACTACTACTACTACTACTACTACTATGCATGACTGCCCATCATAGGGCCACCGCACATCGGTGTCAGCTTGATTCACATGAAGTCTTCATTTCGTGTACGGGAAATGCGTCGCAGCATCGCGAAAACATTGACTTGAGCTCAACGTCTTGGCGCGATGATTTTCCAGTACGCGAATTGAGGTCTGAATCAGCTTTAACAGCACAGAGGTCACGTGACCAGCATGACGCTACACTGTCCACTGAACAATGCAGTGTGCCAGTACACAAACCAGTCTACAGTGTGGAGATATTGAACTACACAAGTACTCGAGTACCGTACTCAGTTTAATGATAATAATATACAGTCATGAATTGGAGAACAACATCCAGTTTTACTATCACTAGTATCAGCTATATGTGGCAAGAGAAGTAGTCAAACACATCACTGGTAATAACATATCACCTGAGTTATGGGAAACAGTAGGAAGAAAACGGGTGCAGAATGCAGTGGAAAATAATAATTTTATGTAGTCCATTGCATGGACAGCAGCAAAAACGAGGCCAGTAGTTATAATAGTGCAACATGGATACGCAGACGAGTATTTGTGTATGAATGTGATCATGAACAAACACACAGAGCAAGTACCGGTAAACCATGGTCTTTTCATTTCTCTAGTGAAATTGAAGTAGTCACCAGCAGTTATTACCGCAAGAAAATATCATGAAAACTTGCCTGGCCTAGCGGTGTGTAAAATTTAAAATATACAATGATATGTGTGGTTGGGGAAGGATAAAGGGGGAGGGGTGATAAGGGGGAGGGGGAGGGGTGATAAGGGAGGGGGGAGGAGGAGGGATGATAAGGGGGAGGGGTGATAAGGGAGGGGGTGGGAGGGGGGGGGGGACAACGTTACTTTTCCGACAAGGAAGGTAGAAGTTTCAAGACCAAAATAAAAACAATTGAGAAGAGAACAATTATTGATGAAATGGATATGTTCCATCTTCATTCACCTTGTGTACTGTCTGAACAGATAGACATGTACAATGTACATCTTGACAATCCTCTGCATTCTGCATTCAACACAATCATACAGAAGACAACAAAACAATGACATCATCGTATTACATCATCACCGACCAGGTGACTTGATACACGAAATCATGATTACATAGCAGGAACTACCACCATCAGTTTGTATGCTTGTTTTTAAAGGATAACAGCATTGGCAGGTTACAAAGAACAAACATTAATTTCTGCATTTCCTGGATCTCAGCAAGAAGGGCATACCGATGTATACACGATGATTTGACTGTGCATGGATGGATAGCAGTACTTGAAAGATAGCAACGGCCTCAGCACCGGTCTCAGCACCGGTCTCAGCACCGGTCTCAGCACCGATCTCAGCACCGGTCTCAGCACCGGTCTCAGCTAGTACACTCTCTGTTCTTTGGTACCCGACAGTAGATGGGTTGTGCACAAAAGAAAATTCGTCAGAACATGCCCGTCCGGGTTCGAGAAACCAAAGTTGCCGAAAAGATTCGTCCAAACGCGACCGAAACAGAGGAGATCTACGAAACTAGTTTTCGTCATATGCAGTAAGCAAAAATTCAAATTATCGTGTCCGTTCCCGAATGGAACTCATGACGGCCGCTAACACCAGGTAAACCCTAGCGGCAGATGCAGCGCTACAGCCCAGTCAAATGGGAACTGGTGGCCAGGCACATGGGATACATTGATGCAGCTAATGGCGTTTCTCGTCACTTGTACCAGTGGTTGTGAGACTTATCCACTCACCCCCACCGTCCTTTGCAGTACATTGTACATACTACTCCCTGTCTTAACTCTCTTCGTACCCGCAGCGCTAGCATCGACCCAATACGAAAAAGTTCGTACGTTGTGCGCAACCTCAAGGCTAACGAATACCGTACTCCTTTTTAAGAGAGCATGTCTGAGAATACCAAAGTATGTGTGCAAGTGGATCTCTCCGATTTCGCTCAAAATTTGCAGGTATGTTCCCTTTGGGGTGTGGATCGATCGTGCAAAGCCCTTGAAAAAGTTTCTGAAGGGAACCTTGAAATTTGGATACCCCTCAGAAATGGCCGAAATATCACATTATTTATGGGTCTAGAAACGAGTCACGCCACAGCGTATACGAACAAGCTATGAACAAAACTCCATCAAGCCAACATTGCCTCACCTTAGAAGAGTTCCTGGAGCGGTACCGCTTAGCCACGACAGGATCCCAGAAGACGAGGTCCATCACCCCCTGACGCCACAAATGATCGTCTTGAAAATAGCCAATTTACAAGCGCTGGCAAAACAGCCAGCTACGTCCTCAATTGGCCAGAACTATACACCGGCAGATAGTAGAACACCTCTTCTAGCGCTGAGGACATGTCCCCCATCTTCCTTTTGGGGTTTTCTTGAAATAAACCTTTTTGAATTTTTCCACTCGACCATGCTGAAATACGGCCAAAGTCATACCTGCGCAGGAAAGCTCGCCCCTCCGCGACGTCTCCTCAGCAATTTCTACTCCAACACTACTCCCAAGGCCGCAGAACAAAGTGTATTGTTGGCTCTGACAAGGAAAAGCAGCGGTGATCACTTGTCACTCCAAACGACAAGCTTCTCCTTGCGCCACCAATAATTTTTTGTGCCACTGTTGATGCAAAAGTGACTGAAAGCATGAGTGCATATCTTGAATTTTACTACAAGAGGCACGGTGAAATCACGTGCCCTGTGACGCAAGAATTCCAAGTCGCGTGGATCATGTCTCACGAGATTTCAGAGACACCTTCGTCATGTGCGCTTGTTACTCGCCTTGAACGCCCGTTGGTCTGGAAGTGATCACACTTGTGTGGTTACTGCGCTCAAGAACACGATGACCGTGTTGTAGGCCTACGAATCGGGACTTTCCCTGACCATGTAAGTCGAAGACCAGTGAAATGATGATGAAATCATATTCTTTATGACGTAAGAAATCTCTCATGCAGTTCACGCGACAAGTTCGTGCAGCCAGTGCTGCTCGCGTGCCAGTCAACACAAAGCGACCGAGCTTGCAGCTTTTGTCGAGCATCGACATGAAAACAAGGGACTTTTACCGTTGGACTATGTTCGGATTGCAGGAGGTAAGTGTGAAAGATGAATAACTCTCCATGCTGTACGTGGGGCATATTTCAACGGCTTGCTGCCATTGTAACACTCCTAGGACAGTTTGTGAGGGTTCTCAGTAGATCAAGCAGGAAATACAGTCTTACCATCTTACCTCGCGGCCATCATGCATGGTCTGTTCCGAGTAGCGTTCCAGTCACGTTCGCGATCGATGGCCGCGTGTCGTGATGTGGAAGCGTCATCCTACGTCACAGAGCACGCGATCTCATCGTGCATTTTGCAATAAAATTCAAAAACTGCGCTCAGGCCTTCAGTCACTTTTGCATCAACAGTCGCACAAAAAATTATTGGTGGCGCAAGGAGAAGCTTGTCGCTTGGAGTGACAAGTGATCACCGCTGCTTTTCCTTGTCAGAGCCAACAATACACTTTGTTCTGCGGCCTTGGGAGTAGTGTTGGAGTAGAAATTGCTGAGGAGACGTCGCCGAGGGGCGAGCTTTCCTGCGCAGGTATGACTTTGGCCGTATTTCAGCATGGTCGAGTGGAAAAATTCAAAAAAGTTTATTTCAAGAAAACCCCAAAAGGAAGATGGGGGACATGTCCTCAGCGCTAGAAGAGGTGTTCTACTATCTGCCGGTGTATAGTTCTGGCCAATTGAGGACGTAGCTGGCTGTTTTGCCAGCGCTTGTAAATTGGCTATTTTCAAGACGATCATTTGTGGCGTCAGGGGGTGATGGACCTCGTCTTCTGGGATCCTGGCGTGGCTAAGCGGTACCGCTCCAGGAACTCTTCTAAGGTGAGGCAATATTGGCTTGATGGAGTTTTGTTCATAGCTTGTTCGTATACGCTGTGGCGTGACTCGTTTCTAGACCCATAAATAATGTGATATTTCGGCCATTTCTGAGGGGTATCCAAATTTCAAGGTTCCCTTCAGAAACTTTTTCAAGGGCTTTGCACGATCGATCCACACCCCAAAGGGAACATACCTGCAAATTTTGAGCGAAATCGGAGAGATCCACTTGCACACATACTTTGGTATTCTCAGACATGCTCTCTTAATTGTTTCCTTAAAAAATTCTGTTACCGGGGAGGGGGGGGGGGGGTACTTGGACCCGTTTGAAAACAGAACACGGGATCACTTGTAAACCGGTTGGGAGTATTTTACATGACATGTGGAGTACTGCAGGCACATGCAGTTACTTGGGCAGAGTGTCCAGTGTACATTGTCTATACATATACAGCTGGGAGTAGTACAGTGTTGCTAATGTGTGTACAGTGTTGCTAATGTGTGTACAGTGTTGCTAATGTGTGTACAGTGTTGCTAATGTGTGTACAGTGTTGCTAATGTGTGTACAGTGTTGCTAATGTGTGTACAGTGTTGCTAATGTGTGTACAGTGTTGCTAATGTGTGTACAGTGTTGCTAATGTGTGTACAGTGTTGCTAATGTGTGTACAGTGTTGCTAATGTGTGTACAGTGTTGCTAATGTGTGTACAGTGTTGCTAATGTGTGTACAGTGTTGCTAATGTGTGTACAGTGTTGCTAATGTGTGTACAGTGTTGCTAATGTGTGTACAGTGTTGCTAATGTGTGTACAGTGTTGCTAATGTGTGTACAGTGTTGCTAATGTGTGTACAGTGTTGCTAATGTGTGTACAGTGTTGCTAATGTGTGTACAGTGTTGCTAATGTGTGTACAGTGTTGCTAATGTGTGTACAGTGTTGCTAATGTGTGTACAGTGTTGCTAATGTGTGTACAGTGTTGCTAATGTGTGTACAGTGTTGCTAATGTGTGTACAGTGTTGCTAATGTGTGTACAGTGTTGCTAATGTGTGTACAGTGTTGCTAATGTGTGTACAGTGTTGCTAATGTGTGTACAGTGTTGCTAATGTGTGTACAGTGTTGCTAATGTGTGTACAGTGTTGCTAATGTGTGTACAGTGTTGCTAATGTGTGTACAGTGTTGCTAATGTGTGTACAGTGTTGCTAATGTGTGTACAGTGTTGCTAATGTGTGTACAGTGTTGCTAATGTGTGTACAGTGTTGCTAATGTGTGTACAGTGTTGCTAATGTGTGTACAGTGTTGCTAATGTGTGTACAGTGTTGCTAATGTGTGTACAGTGTTGCTAATGTGTGTACAGTGTTGCTAATGTGTGTACAGTGTTGCTAATGTGTGTACAGTGTTGCTAATGTGTGTACAGTGTTGCTAATGTGTGTACAGTGTTGCTAATGTGTGTACAGTGTTGCTAATGTGTGTACAGTGTTGCTAATGTGTGTACAGTGTTGCTAATGTGTGTACAGTGTTGCTAATGTGTGTACAGTGTTGCTAATGTGTGTACAGTGTTGCTAATGTGTGTACAGTGTTGCTAATGTGTGTACAGTGTTGCTAATGTGTGTACAGTGTTGCTAATGTGTGTACAGTGTTGCTAATGTGTGTACAGTGTTGCTAATGTGTGTACAGTGTTGCTAATGTGTGTACAGTGTTGCTAATGTGTGTACAGTGTTGCTAATGTGTGTACAGTGTTGCTAATGTGTGTATAGTGCTGGTAGTGGTTGACAAGAGCAGTTCTGTATAGACATACACACATCAGCAGAAAACCTTACCTTCTAGTAATGAACAGTAGCCAGTAATGTTCAGGTCTCCTACACCAGCAACCTCATCATCCACAACACAGGTAACCATAACAACAGCACCTGCAGAAACATGAGCCATGGCAGGCCCAGCAACAGCCGCAGAAACAGCAGCAACAACAACAAAGGCAGCGATAACAGCCGCAGAAACAGCAGCAACAACAACAACAACAGGAGAAAGAAGTCACCGAGTTAGCAACAGCATCAACAGCAATAACAGCCACAGCAACATCAGGTGCAACAGCAACAGCATTGTGCAGGCGGATAAGCAGAGTTGCAGTTGAAGGCACACACACACACACACACACACACACACACACACACACACACACACACACACACACACACACACGCATACACACATACACACACACACACACACACACACAAACACACACACACACACACACACACACAAACACACACACACACACACATACACACACACATACACACACACACACACACACACACACACACACACACACACACACACACAAACACACACACACACACACACACACAAACACACACACACACACACACACACACACACACACACACCTAGGTGTACACACAGTGCTGTATGAAGGAGTGGTCTAAACATTCATCAGGGGCGTAGCACCCGCTACGACTGGTACGACCATGGCCGTACCACTTTTCGAAAAGTGTGGTTCGTCCGGAACGTGCAAAACCGTAATAAAAAATCAGGATCCATCGATGCATATGCGCATCAGACTTTGACCTTTTTCTCGACTCGTACTCGTAGATCTGCCATGCATCTGTGCATGTCCATGCACGTCTCTTCTGCCCGTGAAATATTTCTATGACTTATAAACTGTGCCAGAAGTGTGCCAGAAGTTCCCAGAACGCAGGATTTTGTGTCTTTTTTTACAAAATCCCCCCCCCCGGACCCCCCTCCAAAACGGCCTTCGGCCGCGCCGACCTTTGGTCGTATCACTTCCAAAACCTCTCCTACGCACCTGTTCATAGTTAAACACTCTAGGTCATGATGCATGGACAACACACGGAGTAAAACATATGAGAGAATGAGATGAGTAGAAGGGAAATTTGGAAATAAAGTCATTCCAATGTGCACCATACTGACTACAAAGTCTACAATACAATAACACTGGATCTTTGACTCCTGCCGGGGATGGGGGAGAGAGGGGGATGTGGGATGGGGGAGAGAGGGGAGTGGGGGAGAGAGGGGAGTGGGGGAGAGAGGGGAGTGGGGGAGGGGGGGGGGGGGGGGCGCTAAGAGATGTGTCAGGAAATAAAATTACAAAAAAACTGTACCTTTCCAATATGAACCATCCAGTCTTCTGTTCAGTCACCCAAACAAATCATTTCCACAACTAGAAGTTGTCCTGCGAAACCATGGCAGAAGCACCTATAGCAGTAACAGCAAACACAGCAATGTGTCGAGAAATCACCTCTGAACCACCAACAACAGCAAATCTAGTAGCAACAACAGCAGCAACAATAGCTGCAACAATAGCTTATTGAAGAGTTGGTGGACAAGCCGTTGATTATTCACTCTCATTGTAATATCCAAAAATATTCTTTCTAGACCAAAGAGTGGTATATTTGATAACATTTAATAACGATAGAAATTTTTACGATACTTCTCCAGACGTTTCGTTGTTCTGAACATCGTCAGTGGATAAAGTTCTTTATCCACTGACGATGTTGTTCAGAACAACGAAACGTCTGGAGAAGTATCGTAAAAATTTCTATCGTTATTAAAGGGGAAGTATACCCTAAAATGAAATTTTCACCAGTTGTAGTCTTCGGGGTGCTGAGTCGAATGGTCTTGGTCCGAGGAAGCTGAGGCGCTCCCTTCCTACTTGAATCCCAATCGAACTCGCGCACTTCCACCGAAACTGGGTGACTGCGCCCTACTAGATGGGGATTTGTATGCAAAATGTCACTAAAAGTGCCATTTCGTTCTTATAAAAGCACGGATGACCGCGATTGGCCCATATGTTGTAGTGTTTTGGACGCTGAGTCGACTGGTTTTGGTCCGAAAAGGCTGCGATGCAGCGTTCCTCCTTTATTCCCAATCGAACATAGTTGAACAAGCGGTCACGTGCTCCTGCGTACACCAGTCACCTGGTCACCGTGCCTGCAGGGTACAACTTACTAGCCTGTTTGACCTTTTTTGGGTGCAGTCCTGTCACTCGAGTTGAACTCGAGTTGAACCTTGGTGTGAAAGTTGTCGCCTGCTGGCGCAGTGACCAGGTGATTTGGGCACCCAGGAGCACGTGACCGCTTGTTCAACCATGTTCGATTGGGAATAAAGGATGAACGCTGCATCGCAGCCTTTTCGGACCAAAACCAGTCGACTCAGCGTCCAAAACACTACAACATATGGGCCAATCGCGGTCATCCGTGCTTTTATAAGAACGAAATGGCGCTTTTAGTGACATTTTGCATACAAATCCCCATCTAGTAGGGCGCAGTCACCCAGTTTCGGTGGAAGTGCGCGAGTTCGATTGGGATTCAAGTAGGAAGGGAGCGTCGCAGCTTCCTCGGACCAAGACCATTCGACTCAGCACCCAGAAGACTACAACTGGTGAAAATTTGATTTTAGGGTATACTTCCCCTTTAAATGTTATCAAATATACCACTCTTTGGTCTAGAAAGAATATTTTTGGATAATAGCTTATTGGCGATGGTACCATCGTGAGAATATAGAATTCAAATAGCTGCAACAACAGCAAGACCAATAGCAGCAACAGCAGAAACAACAGCAAGAGCAAAAGCAGCAGCAACAGCGACAACAGCAACAGAAACAGCAACAACAACAGCAAGAGCAGCATCAGCAACAGCAGCAACAGCAGCAGCAACAACAGTAGCAACAAAAGCAACAACAGGAAAAGCAGCAGCAACAACAGTAGCAGCAGCAACAGCAACAGCAGCAGCAACAGAAACAGCACCAGCAACAGCAGCCACAAAAGTAGCAGCAGCAACGACAACAGCAGCAACAGCAGCAACGCAAACAGCAGGAATAACAACAACAGCGGCAGCAGCAGCAGTGGAAACAACAGCAGTAGTAGCAACAGAAGAAGCAGCAGCAACAGCAACCGTAGCAACAGCAGACACAGCGACTACAGCAGCAACGGTAGGAACAGCAAAAGCAGACACAGTAGCAATACAAACAGCAGCAATAGCAGCAACAGCAATAGCAGTAGCAGCAGCAACAGCAAACACAGCAGTAACGGCAGCAACAGCAGCAGCAGCAGCAGCAGCAGTAGGAGCAACAGCAACAGCAACAGCAGGAGCAACAGCAGCAGCAGCAGCAGGAGGACCAGAAACAGCAGCAATATCAACAGCAACGACAACTGTAGCAACAGGTGAAGATAAAAACGATGTGCAGTCATTTCCCCAGGACAATTATCCAATTCGACCTGTTTTGATTATAAGTTTGAACACATCTAAATAGGGAAAGAAGAGAGGGGCAAGATAATGTAGTTAACAATAAGATTATATTTTTCTACAAGCTGTACCTTTCTGCATTGCAGCAATATCATCCAGGTATGTGTACGTCATCAGAAACCTCACTGATCTGCATACATCTGATTCCTGTTCCCCAGGACCAGAGATGAAGCAGAGGAATAGTACAGCTACTGACAATACCATGAGTCATGATCTCTATCATAGCAGCATCACCCTCTCAGCAACTCGACCAGCAACTGCAACTGCAACAGAAGCAGAGGCATAAACAGGCAAACAACAGTATCAGCAGCAATAGCAGCAGTAGCAGTATCAAGATCAGCAGTAGCAGTAGCAGTGTCAAGATCAGCAGTAGCAGTAGCAGTGTCAAGATCAGCAGCAGCAGCAGTAGCAGGGAGACAGACACAACAGTTTGAATAGGCAGAGCCACCATTCCTTGGTGTCATGGGAAGGAGAGTTTGGAGAGAATGCCATGGAAATGGAAGAGAAGGAATTAATGAATGAGTATGTAAAGTGCAAACAAAAAGTCCCTTCCAACCCTGTGTATAGCTGGGCATGTAACGAGGAGAAGTTGAAGTGAAACAATTATTCCATGCACATTTCTCCCAATACAATGCTATTCCATGTGAATATGGGTGCTGTGTGATGGGGTGGGGGTGGGGGGGGGGGGTGGGGGGGTGCTAACAGAACAGGGGTGACAGTTAATTAAAAAAGTACCTTTCAAATCTGAACCATCCCGGCATCCGTCCATCAACCAACAGATCACTTTGCATATGGAGACCATGACAGAACAACCCGCTTCAATATGAACAACCACGCCGCCACTGCGGATAATCCCCCTGAGACAGCAACAGCAGCAGCAACAACAACATTAGCGAAACCAACAGCATAGCAACAGTACAGGTCTTGCCAGTACAGCAACAGTACAGGTCTTGCCATCACATCAACAGTAGAGGTCTTGCCAGCACATCAATAGCTGCAGTAGCACTACCACCAGTATAGACACACTTGCACTAGCAGTATCACCAGCAGTAAACGTCACATTCAGAAATGACAGTACATGGTCAGTCGTCTTCAAGTTCCCACCAAAACTACCACAGTGTGGTCATGTGACCGGGGATTATTTTCAAACCAGATCCGTGCTATACTAGTTTAAACCCACCCATATATGGAAACAGGAGACAGGCAAGGGAAAGTAGCTGACAAAAAGAAATCCTTAGACACAACCTGTACCTTACTAAGACACAGCTCTGCCATCCAGATTTCTGCCCATCATCTGAGCACTCGCTGACACACACGTAATGGATCACTGTTCAGCACAGCTGACCATGGAGAAAGCAGCAGTAACAGTAGAGACACTGGCAACGCTATCTGCGATAGACACTATGACAGCACATGAACACATGAACACATGAACACACACACACACACACACACACACACACACACACACACACACACACACACAAACACACACACACACACACACACACACACACACATATATACACACGCACACACACACATACAGAAGGAGACGTGACTGCTGCAGCAACATCACCAGCAATATCAAAAAGTATTCTTTCTAGACCAAAGAGTGGTATATTTGATAACATTTAATAACGATAGAAATTTTTACGATACTTCTCCAGACGTTTCGTTGTTCTGAACAACATCGTCAGTGGATAAAGAAAATTCTTTATCCACTGACGACGTTGTTCAGAACAACGAAACGTCTGGAGAAGTATCGTAAAAATTTCTATCGTTATTAAATGTTATCAAATATACCACTCTTTGGTCTAGAAAGAATACTTTTTGATATTACAATGAGAGTGAATAATCAACGGCTTGTCCACCAACTCTTTGACATCACCAGCAGGCAGTGATCTAGCCAAAGCCGGCTCAGCCGGCATTTAAAATGCCGGCTGGGAGGGCGTCGCCCTGCCGGCTGAGACAGCTCCAAGGGTAATTTTGGCCGGCTGCAGTCACCCCATGTAGACTGTAGTGCACTGCACTAGCACTTGATTTGAGATGGTGGAGTACAACCCATATCCTAGGCGTAGGTATGTACAGTACAGTACGTAGCACTGGCTACTCATATATCAGGCTCAGTGCTAGCTCTTCACTCAAGCTCAAATGCACTTGAGTATGCACTTGAGTATGTCAGTAAAATGTAACAGGTTGGGTCATGGTTCGCTGCTTCTGGTGGTGTACATGGCTGTGGCTAGGCTGGGTCTTGTCAGATGACCAATGTACACTGCATGCAGACATGACCTTGGTGAACACATGATCCATGCTCATGTGGCTGTTTGCTTCCTTTTCCATATTTTGTTAATTTACCTATAATCACATTGTCACAACTGCCTGATGAATGCCCATAATTGGACGAAGCGAAAGGAGATGGAAGCTGCAATGAAAGATTTGTAGCGGTGTGTGTGTGTGTCTGTGTGGATACGTGAGTGATGGGGGGGGGGGGGTCTGGGGGCGCAGCCCCCAGAACGATGCATTTTAACTAGAACGTTGGCCGGCTGGCATAAAATCCTGGCTAGACCTCTGAGCAGCCACAGAAACAGCAGCAGTAGCAGTAGAGGTAGGAGGCAGAAATAGCAGCAGCAACAGCAGCAGCAACAGCAGTAGCAGCAACAACAGTAGCAGCAACAACAGCGTGAGCAACAACAGCAGAAGCAGAAGCAGCAACAACAACAGCAGCAGCAAAAACAGCGACAGCAACAGCAGCAGCAACAACAGCAGCAGCAAGAGTAACACACAAACACATACACACCTGTCCTGTCCTGTCCTATCGAACCACTGCCACACGGGTCACGTGGGCCTGGAGTAGCAACGGAGAGAGAAGAGGAGAACGCCGTCCCACGGCGTCCAGGACACAACGAGTCACCAGGATTCAGGTCACCTACGACTGTTACCCCAAGACTGAGGTATGGCCGGGGGAGAACCTGAGCAAAGGTGTCTATTCCTACCCTGGACCGAACGCAAGCAGCGGCCGCAGGACGCACAGTGCGCGCCACAACACGCCTCCACTGCGGCTGGGGACTGAGCCACACACTTGTGACGGGCAAGGCCAACACACACACACACACACACACACACACACACACACACACACACACACACACACACACACACACACACACACACACACACACACACACACACACATACTCACACACACACACACACACACACACACACACACACACACACACACACACACACACACACACACACACACACACACACACACACAAGCAGCAACAGTAGCACAGAAAGCACAGCACAGAAAGACAATGGAGTCAGGAGAAATAGCACCACCAGTAGCATTATCAATGGTTTAATAATACTTCAGCGATTGCCCACTCGTATACATTTTATAAGAAGATGTATAAGTACAGTTGATGATACTCTTTGACATACCTTGTAGTAGTCAGATCCATCTGCTACACAGCTACAGTAATACCAGGACGACCGCTCTGCTGTTGATACGATAACACAAACATATCTGTAGCAGTGCAACGGGAAAATTCAGCAAGAAAAACACAAACAAAAAGCAGCAACATGCAGTTGCATAAATAGCAGCACCAGCAGCAGTAACAACAGGACAAGCACCATTACCAGCAGCAACAGTAGCAGCAGTAGCAACAATTGCGGGATCATCACCAGCACCAGCAACAGTAGCAGCAATGCCAGCAGCAGTAGCAGCAGTAGCAACAGTTGCGGGACCATCACCATCACCAGCAACAGCACCATCTCTAGTAGGAAAAATGACCGGGTCGAGCACTCGTTTGCAGTACAGTACGGCATCATGGAGTCATACGAGGATACAATCAATCACTTCCCTGACAAAAAGTCCGGGAGGGGCGCATGGAAGAGACGGTGTGCTCTGGCGTGATTTTACGGTATATACCGGTATGGTGTGTGTTGTGAAATCCTAGCCGGTACAAATTTCACGATCCTACAGTACTATAATCACATAATACATTTCTGACTTGTTACTATGGTAAAATTAGAATTCTGCAAACACACCGATATTCGCGTCAATAAATTTTCGACATTTCTTAGAACCAGGGAGATTACAATGGATAATGTTCGCAAATCAATGTGGCCACTTTCATAAACTCACTGTTAAAATTTGACTTCGCTCTGGTCAATCAATACGAGTCATGTTACTCTCTTGTCGTGAAAAAAGCAAACAATAATGTGTGGTGAATATTGTACAGTTACCAGTAGTAACAAATAGCAGATTATTAACAATAGAAAGTCTACTTACTCACTTCACTACAGTCTTCTGGCAGATATACTTGCATTAGAGCGTTCGGTACACAACTACCACCATCTTTGCCCTCCAATCCTGTGATTTCCCCCGGCAGACGAATGCTACTGAATGCCACCGAGAAATCACCTGCTCTGAATCACCAACAACAGCTACAATAGCTGGAACGAGAATAATAGCAGCAACAACAGCAGCAACAATTGCTTTTTGACGATGGTACCATCGTGAGAATAAAGAATTCAAATAGCTGCAGCAACAGCAAAGACTAATAGCACCAACAGTAGAAACAACAGCAGCAAAAATAACAGCAGCAGCAGCAAAGAAAATAACCGCAGCAGTAGCAGTAGCTCCAACGACGGCCGCAAGACTAATAGCACGAACAGCAGCAACAACAGCAACAGCAAAAGCAGCAGCAACAGCGACAACAGCAACAGAAACTGCAACAGCAACAGCAGCAGCAACAACACACTGTCTTTGATCAACTCTACGCTCATGTGAACTCAGCCATCAGTTCAAAACAGTCTGGTTTCTGTAGAGGTGATTCCACTGTCCTTCAACTTAGTCGGATCATGCAGGACATTTATTCTTATCGGGACAGAGGACACTATGTAGGGTTATGATTCTTTGACTCAGCGAAAGCTTTTGACACCGTGTGGCACTGAGGCCTGATATCTAAGCTCACTGATTCATTTCGTATTGATGGTTTGGCTCTGGAGTGGCTGGCGAATTATCTAACGGACAGGCATCAGATAGTGTCCGTCCTTAATACGCACTCTAAACCCCTTCCTGTTCTTTCTGGCGTTCCGCAGGGCTCCATACTGGGTCCTCTTTTATTTCTACTCTACATCAATGATTTGCCGAGTGTTGTTCCTGATACTTCGTTGTATGCTGATGACACTGCGCTAATCAAATTCTGCGAGTCTCTCCCACAACTCCAAGCCTCCCTCCAACTGGACATTGACGAGGTAGTGGCCTGGATGTGTCGCTGGCACCTGTCGCCAAACCACAGCAAGACAGAGGCAAAGATTATTGGATGCGCTTCTCCAGACCCAGTCACCCTGTGTTTCCCAGGATCGTCCAACAGCATCGAACTGGTAAAAACCCACAAACACCTGGGCGTACGTATTGACTCTGCACTTTCCTGGTCAGAGCAAGTTAATGTTTGTCGTCGCACTAGCTCCGCCCTTGGAGCACTCACTTCCCACTGCTCCCACCTCCCTCATAGTTGTAAAATACTTTTCTACCGTTGCTATATTTTGCCTCTGTTTGACTACGCCGACACAGCATGGTGTGGTCTAAATTCAACTTTGTCCACAAAACTTGAAACGCATCATAAAAAGATTATCAAACGGTTATTTGGACTGCCTCAGTTATTCAGCAGTGCCCAATTATATTCTCGGACTGCCTCATCCCCGCTCTGTGAGCGCCGCCAAGCCCACTTATGTACCCTTGCTCATATAATTTATCTCAAACGAATTCCCCAACACTTGGAAAAGTATGACTGGTTCCAGCGAGATAGACCTACTCGAAATCAAGTATCATTGCCTGCTCCTCGTTTATCTTTGTTTCTAAACTCACCTGTGTTTATGGCATATCGATTTTGGCTCTCCCTACGACGTGCTGAGACACTTTCCGCTTTCAACAAGGCTCTTCGTCACTAACTCACCTCTTTTATTTTTTATTTTTTTATTTTTTTCAAACAAGTTTTCGTACAACACTCATCAGGAATCGTCGTTGTACTAAAGGACACTGAAACAAAAATTGAACTATTATAGAAAATCAAAGTTAGAGAAATAACACTAAGAGCAACAGCAGTGAAATTTACAAGTGTGAATTTTACCAATCAAAGCGAGAAATGAACAAAGGAGAAACGAAGGAAAGACAACGTGATAACACATAACAGCAGTACATTACACCTAGAACATTAACGGCCAAGCTTGGCCGCACTAAACACGACACGTTACTTGAACAATTTCAACCCAATTATACTATCTTTCTGTACACACAAATTAGCCTTATACAGACGCTGATAGATAGCTTCCAACACTTTTAACTGTAGTCCATAACCATGACGACCACGGCACAATACAGTGAACGAAGAGTCGGAATATGAATTGCAACAATCAGGACTAGCCAACAGATGATTGTACACTGAAGACTTGCTACCACGAAACCTACGCACAACACTAACACTCTCACCGGCACTCTCACCATCACTCCCATCACTGCTCTCCGACTCACTGCTCCCTCCGCCGTCCGTTCCATCCTCCGCTTCCTCTGTACTCTCTATGTCTCGTCCATCCCGCCTGACCGGGTCTATTGAACTCAACTCGGG